CCGATTCCAATACTTTACCTTACACACTAGGTGTGTGCGGAAAAGTAATATGTCTAACGTTAATTTTGCCATATAAATTATTACTTTTCCGCACACCTAGTGTAGGAAAGGTATTGTATTAGGCCAAAAAATTAAAGTTTAATGTAGAAAACACGATGGGAGATGATTTTGGGGCATATTAGTGTGCGTCGCTGTGTGTGATGTGTTGATTAGTTTTTGAGCAATAGTTGTTGACCGGTGTAAGTTTTTTGGTCCGAATTGAGTACACACATTATCCATACATTTTTTGATCATTTTTCAACCATTTTGATGACACGATGGTTTCGTGCTCAGACATGAAATTCAAAATCTGACTTTACAGGATGATTGGGCACCACGAGGAATAGATCTGGTCAAATTTTCAACGACATTGATTGATCGATGTAAAACTTAGACTCTGAAGAGGCACTTATGAGAAAAATGCCTTAAAATGATATTCTTTCAATTTGAACGCCGAAAAAATGTGTAGTGGGGGGTTTTTTGGCACGAGAAACCCGAATCTAATGTTAGTTTTAAGATGCAATCAATTTTTCACAGACAAAAATTCACAAAAAATTTCATTTTTGTATGAAAGACATGCCTTTGTGGTACCGTAATAATGTGAAACTTTGAACAGGCTATTTTGTTTGATTGAAATTTCTTTAAACTTGGTGTGATTATTTATTTTGATAAGAAAATAATATTCACAAGTTTTCACTGTAATTTAAGTTACTGCAACCATACATAGACCATCATTTCTGTTTATGCCCAAAATTTCGGTTCCATGCGGAAAAGTTAGCTTGCGTACGTAAGCCTCTTTATCTCCTTTTTAATTTAATTCATTCATCTTTCGTTCTACCCAAGGGAATAATTTAATTTTATTTGGCTCAAGGTTCGGAAAAAATGGGAGAGGAGATTTAAAATAGAACACAAGACCTCCCGAGTGAAAAATGGCATTGAATTTTTCAATGCGTAGTATCAAACGGCATTTAAGCAATAAATCGAGACCGCATGGTCCGTGCGCACGTTGAGTGCATACACCACATCGCTATAGCCATGCGGTGTCGATTTATTGCTTAAATGCCGTTTGACACTACGCATTGAAAAATTCAATGCCATTTTTCACTCGGGCTTCATTCGCGCGCGCTCGCTCAGAAAGAGAGAATGTTGACAAGGAATTCGTTGAGTTAATCTCACCATCGTATTAAATCAAATATAATAATTATGGATGTCAAATTAAAACATATACAGTGCCGTCAGAAAGTTTGAGACCAAGCAAAAAAATGTCATACAAATTCATACAAATTGACGATTTTTTGGAGCAATATTTAATATCGGAGAGTAAATATCTGATGTTTGCACTTTCAAGTGTGAAAAAGGATTATTTTTCCTGACAAAATGTGTCATGTCAACCTCGGATATTTTTTAAACGCGTAGATATTTTTTGATAAAACTTCACTAGTTTACTCTCCGTAAATAAAATGATAAGTGTACAAAAAATTATGGGTCTAGCTATTTCCGAAATATATTAAATATTGCTCCAAAAAATCGTCAATTTGTATGAAATTGTATGAAAAAATGAGCTTGGTCTCAAATTTTCTGACGGCACTGTATATTTTCAGCGCATAGAACAGCAAATTTTTAACGTTATGGCTCTAAGCATTCTAAATGTTGTTTAACTCTAAGACCTCTATGTTTTCTTTTAGCGCTCAATAATTTTTCTTTTCCGCACACACCTAGTGTGTAAGGTAAAGTACTGGAATCGGTCGAAAAATTAACACCCACAAAAAACGTGTATTCTGGGTGTTTTCGGAGCCAGGGAACACGAATCCAGCGTTTTTTCGATGTCCGAATGTATGTGCGTGGTACCCTGTACGCAAAAATTTGTTAACACGTATTCAAAATCTGACTTCACAGGATGATTGGGGGTGCCGAGGAATAGAAACCATTAGATTTTGAGTGACTTTGGTTGATAGAGTGAAGTGTCATGTCTGGTGTGATGCCCATGGCCATCCATGGGAAAAATTCAATTTTTCTTCCAAAAGTGATGTTAATTGTATTCTTAAACACTCAAAAATATCTATTGGATGGTTTTTGGGAATGAGAACTATGAACTATGATATCGTAATGAGCTGAAACTTTGCATAGGCTATTTTTTTCACACAAAAATAACATTCCGAGAGTTTGAAGACATTTCAATGCATATTCTGATTCAAAAACGAAAATTTTGTAAGAGAAGTACCCCTAATATGCATTGAAATTTCAATGGAATACAAGACCGAACGAGCGTGCGCGCGAGTGAAGGTCTCGTATTCCACTCTAAGAACTCTCTCCCATTTTTTTCCGAACCCCAAAGCCAAGGTTGAATGAAAATAAAAATGGGAGAGGGTGCTTAGAATGGAATAAAAGACCGAACGAGTGCGCGCGCGAGTGAAGGTCTTGTGTTCTATTTTAAATCCCCTCTCCCATTTTTTCCGAACCCTGAGCGAAATTAAATTAAATTATTCCCTTACTTGGGTAGAACGAACGATGAATGAATTAAATTAAAAAGGAGATAAGGGGTATGAATTTCAAACTTTGGAGTGAAACAAAAAACTGAACGAGTTCCCAGTGAGAACTTCTCATGCCTGCCTCCAATATTTTTATCAGTTTTTTTTTGTTTTTCATCTTTTTCGAAACTTTACACAGTAAAAAAAGAAAGAAGATGTTAAGATGTTAATTATTCGATCAGTAGTGTATTTTAACATGAATTTGGTTGAATATGGAGTAAGTATACACTCCGTTATATTTTTTTAGATTTTTCCAATTTTGGAATGCGATTTTCCATTTTTGGAATGCGTTTTTCCCAATTTTGGAATGCGTTTTCCAATTTTGTTATGCATTTTTCGTACCACCG